TACTAGTTCAAGAGAATCTAAGGTGAAGTTTCATGTGTTTATGGACACTTTAGGTACCATGTTGAGATCAAAGGCTTATATCCATGAGCACTTCATTTTTATGGTATAAAGGAAATCATATTTAAATGCAAAGTAAATAGCAGTGAAAATACCCAAATTTCATCAGCCTTCTCACTGACCATCTTATTTTTCTTTGCTGAAAAATGGCCAATCTTGTATTGTTCAATTGCTGATACTTGTTCTCCTTCTCTTCTTCTCTGTTTCAAATAAAAATCATAATACAAATAAGATAAATATGCGAAAAGAAATGAAAGATTTAAGTCCTAATAAGCTACGCACCTTATCAACTATCCTTGCAATGGAAACTGTGCCAACAGTGGGTGGAATTTCATTAATTGATCGGCTTTTCTTATTTTTAGTGCTTATCTTCTGCAAAGTTAAATAATTGGAAATAATTATAATTTGTAAATGTTTTTTTTATCAACAAATATTACAAAAGTTAAAAAAACCAGTGCTAATTAAAAGCCTGAAACTCCTCGCTTGAAAACTTTTCACATAGTTTTACCTAATCAGTGTTGATTATACCGTTTGGGGGATGTCTGATTGCATCTTCTTTCGTAGCAAACATTTTGTATAACACGTACCATCAGCCGACAATTTGGATCGTAATTCGAATCGTCCTGTAATCCATTTACCCAAAAAAGCACTTAATATTTTGATCCATATGTTGTAAAGGTTCACATGGATTATAATAAATAGGAGGAGAGTGTGTAAATAAATGGAATGAGATGTTAAGAAGAGTTTGGAACTGGGAGGGGAATGTCAAATAGATTCTTAATTAAAAAATCAAATAATAATAATAACACTTTACCATGCATTTAGTGATGATATCCACCTTCAAGAGATCTGATCGATTTCTCCAAGTGGTTCCATCAAATTTTGCATGGTCACGCACGAGATACCCGCCTTTGGTGATAAATCGCTGGCTATCTTCCCCAATTATACGTCCAACATATTAAAATAAACTGCCCCCTATTGAAGCGTCTCTTTCTCGTTTCACTTAAGACTATTGATTCTTTCCGAGTAATGGATGTGCCTAAACAATTTATCTAACACAAAAAGTTATCAGTTATACGTTACATTAATCACATAATATTCTAATTCAACTAATTAATTTATACTATAATAACAAACATACTGTAAGAAGTTGAATCAATATTCTCTTCCAGATTAGGATCAGTCGTGCCCATCTCAACGTGTAGAGAATCAATTTCTTGATCCTCTTCTTGATGATCTTTCTCTAGGCCTTGGTTCTCCATTGGAATATCTCGACTGTAATTTGACTCATGAGGTGGTGGAATATTGTGGCTCTTATTTGACTTATGAAGTGGTGGAACATGGCGGCTGCTACTTGACTTATGAGACTTCGGAACATCACAATTGCTACTTGATCTCTGAGGTAGTGGAACACCATGGTTGCTACTTAACGTATGCGGATGAAACCTTTTCAATACTCCTTTTCCAGGTCCATCCATTTAAATCAGATATCTACAAAATTAAACATGTTTAGTCTGAATCAGTATAATCATCTTGCCATGATTCCTCTTTTTGAGAAGATTTTGATTCTGTTAGGTACTGTCATCATCATCAACAAGCCTTTCATCCATGACATGAGGGTTTTGACTTGACCGTCTACTTGAGTCCTGACCGATAGCTGATGCATTTAGAAATTCCAATGGGTCAGTTCCTCTTGTTAACGATGGTTGATCAAAATGCATTGTCAAATCCACGATCAGATCTAAATGTGGCTCTTGTTCTTGATATACTTTTTCAATTTGTATAGGAACGTCATACAATGTTCGAGGGGTACTACTTTGCACCACATGCCAACTTGTTTGGCTTGTGATGCGAGTATGTATGGTTGATCTTTGTACCATTTTCGAGACATATTAACACTAACAACCCCAAATTCTTTGTCAATTTGTGGTCCACGAGACAATATATGAATTTCAGATGCAAATGATTGTGGACATGAATTCACCTGAATGAGAAGAACATATAGTTCGTTAACCAAGTTTAAAAATGTTATATATACATTTTTGAAAACAAATCTCAAACATTGGTCTTACACGTTGTCGAATCCATGAAGCGAATAGTTTGCCATGAAGTTCATTTACATTGTTACAGTTTTCTTTCTCGAGTTGAACTTTGTGTGCACTATAGAAGTTAAACAAATTATATGCTGTTATTATACTAAAAACAAAAATACATGAATAGTTGTTACATGATAAAAGGGTACTTACTTTATTAGCTCTTCCGTTTCAGGGCAATTGTTCAAAATGTATGTATGAATCTTCTCTAATTCGGTGTCACTTATTTCACATAATTGAAGACTACCCAATGAACGCCCTCTGCATGAGAATACATAAATGTCACCACCGATGCCCATCATTTCATTGTTGCGCTCAACCTTGTTGAAAACATTATCATCATCGTTCAAATACATGGAACAAAAAGTCAGACATTCATCGTTTATGTATCTCTCAGCAATACATCCTTCTAGACGAGCTTTGTTTTGAACATATCCTTTTAAAATACGCATTTTCCTGAACAAATGATGATGAATTAATGTAATAAAAAATGAATAATAACTTTAGACATTTTAAGAAATACAATTACCTCTCAAATGGGAACATCCATCGATATTGAGGGGACCTGCTAACTTTGCTTCACAAAGGAGTTTTCCATTACCGTAGATGCAAGTCGGAGATGGTGAGATAGAGTTCAATTCATCCCCTAATGCTTTTAAGGCAGGTGAAATAAATAGAAATAGGAAGATCGTCTTGTTTGAGAGTAGCAGTGGACTGCTTAAGTTGATGTATTTTAGGAGTATTTGATTGAGAAATTCACTCATGAAGACCAAATGGTCTTTGGTCTAGCGGTATCGTAGTCTTTTGCCTCCTAGGAGGTCATGGGTTCAAACCTCACCAAATATGAGGATGATATGTGAGTTTGTTTGTTGCATTTGTCGTATATAAATATTATATACTTCAAAAAAAATCACTCATGAAGACCAAATGGTCTTTGGTCTAGCGGTATCGTAGTCTTTTGCCTCCTAGGAGGTCATGGGTTCAAACCTCGCCAAAGGTGAGGATGATATGTGAGTTTGTTTGTTGCATTTGTCGTATATAAATATTATATACTTCAAAAAAAAAGTTCACTCATGAAGATCGGTCCCAACCGCAGATGCCTGTTCAATATACAAGATACTGGCACGAATATCACGTGAAACAGAACTTAATAACCATCTGCTTACCAAATTGTTACATCGTTCCCATAAGGGAATTTCGAGATCAGCAGAAGGTGTTTAAAGTGGCCATTAATAAACTATTTCAACAATGTTGTTTCGTCTTATTAAAAACTAATAACTGAAAATTTTAACCAAATGAAGCACTCGAAAAGTCAAGACAATGAATCAAGTGTGAGTGATCGAAAGGGTTTGCAGTGATTGTTCTGATACGACTTTAATGTGTAACCAGTCACCATTGTTGTGCTTGTCTTTTCATGTGACGTTTTTACTAAAACACAGAAAACATTTTCAAACCGTTTTGGTTAATGTTTTGCAACTAAAGTGCCATTAACCTTTTACAACGGCAGTTTCATTATCTTTATATAATTCAAAGACAATATAAATTTGCTTGAAAATCACGATCTTTTAACTTTTCTATTAAATGTGAATTACATCGTTTTATTTTTTGCCTTAGTGTTTTTTCTTGCTCCCTGTTTAATACCAAATAAAATTGGGCTAAATAATTTTGTGGCTCAACCCAATGGGGTCTATGAAATCCAATAAAATAAACTTGAGGGTTCTGTACAGTAATCTTCATAGAGAATATTCACTACAACAAAATTGGGTTTATAGGACGTCCCCAATCTCTAAGTGTCTCAATAGACCGTTTTATAGGACTTAATTTATATGACCAAAATATAAAGCGTCCTATCTAAAGGCGTTGTAATAAGTTTATATTTGATAATGATCAAAGTGCAAAAATGTTTACTTAGGCTAAGACAAAAAAATATAAAATGAATAGAGAATCAAATATTAGAAAATGAAGAGATAATCAAACATATAGCTTATCTGTTGGGCTGTAAACGAACCGAGCGAACATGAACGAGGGCTTGTTTGTGTCGTTCGTTTAACTTAACCGAACAAACGAACGAATGAATAGTAAACAAACGGATTTTTTTGTGTTCGTGTTCGTTCGTTAAGAAAATGTGCTTGTTTGTGTTCGTTTATTAAGATGTTAAAAGAACGTACACGAATGAACAGTCATATAGTGACATCTCATTGTTGTGATGATACATCTTTTTCCTTAGGCCAACGCACTGTAATATATTTTCTGGGTAAGATTGTAATACATCAAACTGAAATAATATGCAACAATTTACTTGGTAAACACTTACTCGGGTAAGAGTTGTTACCCTCACTTACCGGGTAAGACTCTCTATCCTTATCATCACTCTTACCGGGTAAGATTCTTGGGTTTTGCCACGTTTATCCGGTGAATAAAATTACCCGGTAAACACCTACCAAATAAGCATTTAATAAACGGCCCCTTAATCTAAAGGATTAATACCGACTCAATAGTCCCAGTTAAATTCAATCTTTTTTTAATGTTTACATATTTTTGTTTTGATATTTAGATGATTTTAGATTAATATAAAAAACCATCCAAAATTACAAATATTGTTTACATTAAGATAAAAAAGATGTTAAATAATAATATTTTTTTTAATAAAAAATTTACAAAATCCATAAGAATTAAGAAGTAAGCCCGATTCTAATTACAATTGGGCCGCCATACAAAATAAATGGGCTTGAGGCATATTGGGCCTGGGCCTAAATCAAAGAGCCAGATTCAGACGCCGGACTCATGATCGGTTTCGGGCTAAGTCTGCCATTGTTAAAGAAAGAAGACACCCCTGCAGCTGCATGAACACGATCTCACATATCCCAACAGATGCCTCAAACCTTAAACCCAAATCTTTCCAAATCAAAACATCTCTTAAACAACAGCAATCTCAATCAAGAAAAACCTTGTCATTAGCCCTAAGTTCACTACAAGTTTAGCACATTTTTGCAGTGATTGGTTATAAAGAAGATGATGAGGTGGGAGAAATTGGAGATACATAGAGGAGGGCCGGGGAAGAGATGGGGACACACGTGCAACGCCGTTCGTGGCGGTCAGCTGCTCTACATCTTTGGTGGTTATGGCGAAGACAACACCCAGACTAACAAAGTTCACGTCTATGAAACCAGTAGGTTTTTTTTGGTTTCTATTATTGATATTATCGATTTAAGTGAAAATTACGGTTTATGAATGTTTGTATGGTATGCATATTGCATATTTGTTAAATATGAAGTCCTTTATAAGGGGTTGGTGCCCTGTTTATATTAGAGAGGAGGTGCATCTCAGATTGTATCTAGAACTAATAACCGCAAAATTACTGTTTCCTATTAAGATAGGGATTATTTGTTATTGCAATTTAAGGTATCATTATGTGAACCGGCTGCTTTAAAACGATAAATAACTTCTATGAAGCATATAAAATGGTTTATGTGAAAACAAAATTCAAATAATTATGAGTTAAGCAGAGTTAAGTTGCTAGAGGGAACATTATTTGGATAAAGGATTTGCTAAAGGGAATTGTGTTTTGAGTCTGTGGTTCAATACTTCATTATGGGTTTTCTTTGTAGTAATTGAATCCCTAATTGGTAGTATTAATTGGTTATTCAAATCCTAATTCATATGATGGAATTCTTTCAACTGGTTCTAGTGTGCAAATAACATGCAGGAAAATGTTAAATGGGTTCTGGATGCAAATTGGTCCCCATGAGGATTGGGTGTGTGCTACGCCCAATGCTAATCCTAAGCGCCTTAGAAGTCATATCTTTTATTGATGATTGCTAGTGATATTTTAGTTTGATCAAGATGATTGCTAGTTTTTCTTTCTTTATACCTATGTTTTATTTCTTTAATATACCCAAAGTTCCTTTTCTGATAGTAATCATTCTATAAATTTTTTGATGGATTTAAATGCTTGAATGGTCTTTGTCAAGCTACTGTTTTCTATTTCCTTCAATAAATAACACACACATAAAACCTGTATTTTGGTATTTTTTAAATGCTGAACTGAAACACATATATGTACGCTCATGATTGGATTTGACAAAAAAGGAGATTAATTTCAGAGGCGCGAAGGCACGTCTTTTATGCGTTTGCTTGATTGCTTCAACTCAAGTCGCACATTATTTATTTGGTAAAATGTGCAAATATTGTGTATAGAGTTGATTCAAGGGATCATGTTAGGATTTGCTCATTTGATTTCTTTTTGCTTTTATAAGCTACAAGGACGTGGAGCGAACCTGATATGCAGGGCACACTGCCTGTGCCAAGAGATAGCCACAGCTGCACCACCGTTGGAGATAAGTTGTTTGTATTTGGGGGCACAGATGGGAACATACCTCTTAAGGATTTGCATATTTTGGACACCTGTGAGTTGCTACCCTAGTACCCTCCTGCATTTGCATATGTTTAACGTTGAACAGTTCATTGGTGTGTTGGGTCGATAACACATATGGGCAACTGTCTTGACTTCGTGAATACTAGATGCTGATGAAGCATAAGAAGAAATGTGGGTTTCTAGTCCACAATCTCATACTCTAATTGCTTGGGTAGAAGAAGTAATCGCAAACCAAAGGGTCGTTGGCCCAGCGGTACCTGGGTGACTGGTAGAGTCCAACCTCCTAGGAGGTCAAGGGTTTAAACCTCACCAAAGGTGAGGGGTGTGCACAAGTAATTGCTATATAAATATTTATACTTAAAAAAAAGAAGTAATCACAAGGGAAGCTTTTTGTAGCACCCATAATTTTCTCGATTAGTTATGTCAACATGTTAGATATACTTGTGTTTTTCTATCTTGTATGTGGCTGATATATGTTTCAAAGCAGAATCAATGTGATTCTTTATGGTTTCAATTGCTGTCAACTTGTCCTTGGTTGTCCAATATCTTATGCCTGGATGTAACACAATATCTTTATCAAATCAACAACAGAATTAACCACTAAGAACACATTTTGGTGTTTCCTTGTAACATCTTTTGTTTCTTTCACCACCAGTGTATGACTGTCTAAGTAGCTATTCATTGTACCTCAAGGAACACTATAGATGATTGCAGAGTGGCGTTTCTGTAAGTTTTCTATAGCACAGTGATCAGAGATCAAAACCATGATTTGTTTTCTTTTGTTGGTGCAACTATTTGAGTTTCCATTAAAGCTCCAAGATCATTGTTCGTTTGTCTATTCTCATTTTTTCTACTGCATATTTACATGGAACAAATGTTTTATGTAAGTGTCGATATGATCTGATATTATCAGCCACAAATACATGGATGGCACCATATGTAAGAGGGGACGGTCCAGAAGCACGAGAAGGCCACAGTGCTGCGCTTATTGGCAAAAGACTCTTCATCTTTGGGGGATGCGGAAAGTCTTTTGACACTCCCGTTGAAGAATATTTTGATGATTTATACATATTAAATACAGGTTAGTGTTCTGATCAGACTCTCTCCATAACAATTGATGACATTTACGTCTTTTCTTGAGGCTGTGAGCCTGTGACCATTCTGAATATTTTTTCACTCGCACAAAATCAGCTTTGTCACAATAACATTATGTGCCCGTCGACTTTGTAATGGAGATTGACGATTTTATCCATATTTTCAGAGACAATGGTATGGAAACGGGTAGCTACAACTGGAATTCCGCCGGCGAAGCGTAACAGCCATACTTGTGTCTCATGGAAAAACAAAATTATTGTGATTGGTGGGGAAGATACCCAGAACTATTATATGTCTGATGTCCAGATGCTTGATACAGGTTTCAAAGTTTGACCAGCTATACCTATGTTTTGAAGTCCGTGGTTACAGATTTTGCTGACCTTGTTCACATGAGTTGATCGAGGTTTATGGTTGATCTAAAGTTACCTAATATATGCTTTCTTCTTCATAGATACTCTTACATGGACAAAGTTGGTAACCAATGGTGAGCTGTTGCCACCTAGAGCTGGTCATACAACAATTGCGTTGGGCAAGAACTTGTTTGTCTTTGGAGGTTTTACTGATGCTGAAGACCTGTATGATGACTTATATATGTTTGATCTTGGTATGTAGTTGAAATGTCGTTAGGATAATGAAAATCTAGCATAGTGTTTTGATCTGTCTCGACCTAAATTAAGAATTTTTTGCAACTAGGGTGTGCTTACTAATGAACAAGACTAAGATGGCCACTTGACATCTGCTGCACTCACACAACACGTATTGTTTCTGAGTTGACCTTGGCAAACTACAAACATAAGAATATTCTGTCTGCACTTGCCTTCTTTATGGTAAAATAGACAATTGAGTAACTTTTTAGGTCAATCGCTTCCATTTTGTTTGAGGTCCATCAAGGTTTTGTTTAAGGTTTTGTATGTGGAAGTAACGTGTATAGCATGCAGAATCATCAATAAGGCTCCTTTCTCCATTTCCATGCATGGAGAACATAAATAGACACCTGATTACCACTTTCCCTGCATTGAGTTTTTTCTCCTATGATTTTGACACTTAATAATGCTTGTTTGTGCAGAAACTTTTAGCTGGACCAAGGTTATGACAACAGGAGAGGGGCCTTCTGCCAGATTTTCTATGGCTGGGAGCACTTTACATCCGCAGCTTGGGGGTGTTCTTATATTCATGGGTGGTTGCAATAAGAGTCTTGAGGCGCTTGACGACATGTTCTACCTATTCACAGGTTTAACCCTTTGTGTGAATTGCACACGGCACCTTACGTTCTAACGATAATTGCAATTGTGACTATCTGTTTTTCATGATTTGGTTACCTATATCTATCCTCTGTAGTCTGTAGTGATGTCTGCCATGCCGTTAGCATGATATGGACCACCCAAAAACATAGAATCATTGCCAGAGACGGAAAGAACTCGAGAAGGGTTCTGAATGTGATTAGACTTGCATAAACCCCATCCTTTCTTCTATCTTATATTTCTGTACCACACAAACATCAATAGCGATAATCCTTTGGCAGATTAAATGCTGGCGATGGGGGGACTGATTATGAATTATATATAGATCTTTCTGCAATGTGTCTTCTTGATGAATTATAACTTGATCCTTCCTGGGGAATCATTAGCAAATTACATGAGTGAAAATTTGTAGTTTTGGTAAAAAGATGTCAGGTGAGACAATAAAATTGAGATGTTGGCATGCTTAAGGCTTTGGTGCGAGGTAGATCGAGTGTATGAAGGATGTTTTGGGTAGAATGAGATGACAAATGGTACATTGAGATCTTCTGTTTGTTGTTGGGAACCAAATAATGAACGGCATCTTGTGCTGAATTGTGTATACCATGGGCAAGGGGAGAGGGGAACGGGAAGAAGGTCGTTAGCTTTTTCCATAATGTAATTTCATCATCATATTGGGTTATTATGCACACGTTTTTTTGTTGAGGCTTGAAGTTTTCTCATATCTGCAAGCAACTGAGCAGAAATTTTAGTGGAAGTATTGGTGGTTCTGAATGTTTTGTGAAAACCAGAGGTGCACCAGTCCAGCATAGTCACATAGTTGGAATATTGAGATTTGTATGTATGTATGCCTGTGAGGTAGATATAATCATGTGTGTTGATTCACAAACAGGGGGTTGATCTTTCTGATATATTGCACTAAATACTATTCTATTTTTTCATAGACAGAGCATTCTTTGTTTTCTTTTATCAAGGAGGTACATATAGGGACAACCCAGGTTAACAAAAAACTTGGGTGACAATTGCAATTACAAAAACACCTATGGTATATAATTCAGTTCTCCTTTTATCCAGATTTGGTTTTTCTCCCCATCTTTTATAAATTGCTAGATTTGGTTGAGAAATTCTTTAGTTATATTGCCTTGTGTGCCTATAACATCATGCTAAACTGATGTGGATTTTAGGACTTGCTAGTGACAATGAGCGAGATGAAAGAAAACTAGAGAAGTTATCTTTGAGGAAGCAGTTAAGGTTAAAGAGTCAAGAGCAACAAACTATGACTCCTGTGTGTGATAGCACAATGATTGGCATGGAGAAGAGTCCTAATGCCAACACTCCCATGACCATGCCAAGTCATATCCAAACGCAATCAAGTATGATGCTCTACCATCTCTTACGTTACAGGTGCTATAACATATTATTGCTTGCATCATGTGGCTTTAATTGTCCTGTTGCTGAATTTTTATGTGCTTTTCGTCATGTCTCAAGCCAATGTGGTTTTCTGTGCTGCAAATGTTCCTCCCCTTGCACCCCTCTGTGTGTGTATCCCTCCTTTCTGTATGTGTCTCCTCAAATGTTAGTATTGTAGTTTCAGGAACTGAAAAGATGGCAGTTATTGCCTGTCTTATCCTGTTGTTGAATTTATTAATGCTTTTTTTCATGGAATGCCTTATAACAGAATTCTTTGAAATCATTGGCTGCTTATATTTTCATGCATGCAAGTATTTTTTGCGTTGTAAGGCGGTAATTGTAGTTTTAATGGTTGAAAAAAGAGCATATTTCAATAGCTTTGGTCTCCACCACTAGTCTATATATCCTGTAAACTATAAGAGTTTCAATAGCATTGGCAAAACTTTCATATTTCATGGGAAACTTTTTAGTTTGTTTTACAAGTTATCTTTTCTTTATGTCATCTCTATGGAGGTCTTACTATATCTCATCTTAGAACTTATGATTCAAACATGAGGAATCTTGATCCTGTGGATGCATGACTCCGAGTCAGGTATGATGTCTTCGGCTCGTCCTAGGATGGCCACCTGTTTTGGAATCCTTGGCCATCGTGTGAAAGAACCCCTTTAAGGGAGGTGCTACTTGTGTGAATTGTGTTGACTTCACTATCTCATCTTACTTTGTTAGCATCTGGGAAGTCAATAGTGGTGCTAAAGCGGTCAGTGGTCCTCAACTGCTACAATTTTTCATTATCATGGTACAAAATTGCGGTGCCGCTAAGCTTGGTGTGATCTGCAGTGATTTGACTGTGGTTTGCTGCTATTTGATTTGTTTGGATGTGTGACTTGGTGCTTTGATTTTGAGACCATCATGGAAAACTTCATGTTTTGATGCTGAAACTTGAAACTTCATGTTTTTATTGCATACTACTATTAGATATGTATCACATATATTAAATACTGCATATATATATATCTATTAAATGAAAATACTCTTTTTTTTGCTATATCACTGCTATAACCGCCATAGCAAATCTTGTTCCCTACTCTGATAACATCACAACTGCTTAGATTAGCATAACAAGGGACATAGCCTACAACAATGCAATGCTCTGTTTGAGTATAGTCAATAGACATTCATGTTTTGTTTTTGTTGGTGATAATGTTTTGCCTATCATCACTACTGCAAGTATCTTGTGGCTACTAAATATACATTCTGGAACCTGATAGGGTAATGAGCTAAGCTGCATATCCAGGTTACGCAGTTTACAGAAATCTGATGATATTTAGTCATATAGTAGCAGATGCTAAAACAGTGGAGCATAGATCTCTTTCGGCTTCAAGGAGAGCTTTTCTGCATGTCTGAAGTTCAAATTGTTCAATTTGCAGACAGACAGAATATCTATCTAAATGAATATCATAATCCGCATGGGAAGAGAACATTTCAAGCGAAAGTCACAAAGAACATTACAAATTGCTATACCATTGAGACGGTTATAGATGGGAAGCCTCTGCGTGGAGTTTTATTCTCCAACAACATAGGCTCCAAGAAAGCCGCTGCTGATGACTTAAGAAGGTTAAAGATCTCATTTGTTCTAAACCTATATCTGATAAGTTGATGCACTAAACAGTCATTTAATATTCATGGTTTTGGGTTCTATAAACAACAGGAAAAGAGTTGCAGTTGACAGTGGCAAAAAAGGTTTTGAGCATGTTATGATGGATAATGCAAAAAGACCTGAACACCAGATGCAAGGCGCTACTTCTGCTGCTTCTGATATGAAGACACCGGCAGCTTCTAATGTCTCTCCGCCCCACGAGGTTAACACAATGTTATATGTATGAGTGATAATGCATCTTTATATTTCTAGGTCTGCGTTATTGGAATGTTTGCGATGATAAGGAATATTATAAGTCATATAATATCATGGTGCTTTAAGAAGCATTCTTCTATCCAACAGCATATGCAAGCTGCTGTTGCTTCAGAAATGAAGAAACCCTGCATCTATATTTCTCTGCTGCATGACACTTGATATTCTTTTTTTATCTTTCTGGTGATCTCAAATGCAAGTTTTTATTTTTGACATAGAGGGGGTCATTTTGCTTTTCTTTCCTTTCTATCTTTTTTCTTCTTTACAATTGGCACTTGTTATTTTTCTATCCTAGAGCAGTCTATGGAAGCTCTAACCCTGACTTCGAGCTATTCAATTCACTTGCTTTTGGCCTTCTGGAATTTTCATTAATGTTAAGATGTCTTCAATGGGAACAATCACCAAATTATTAACAATAAGGGAAGAAACAAGGTGCATAATTAATTGGAGAGGGGGACCGGGATAGGAATGGATACATGAATCACATAAGTGCTGGATTTCCTTTTAGCTGTCTTTTCAGTACTGAGAATCTAAAAATTTAATAACTGAAGACTGAAAAAAGAAGATTGCTTTTAGCTTGGGGCTAGTTTAGCATCATCCTTGGCATTTCTTCACAATTTCTCTCTCTATACACAACCAGACAGCCACCAACTACATCAAGAATCTGGGCTGCCCTTTTATTTGCAAAGTGCGGTTAGACTCCCTTCATTGCCCATCTGTTTTCTCCACCATAATCTGTTAACATATAGACAAATAGAAGAAAACAATGGCTGTCTTAAGATGGTATTTTACAAGGAATAACAGGGACAATTATATTATTAAGCTTGTTGTGCAATTATATGTTGACATATAGAGAGCTGGGAAAGGACAATGACCATACTTGGCTGCTAAGGAATGATTGGGGAATTATACTCTGCCCGTGGTGTGATAATTATCGTTTAGACAACTTGGAAAGTCAAGACCATTGGTCCTTTGCTTAAGACAGTGGTTGATAAGGAACAATTGGGAAAATTATATTCTCCATCTTGCAATGAAATAATCTATTGGCTTATAGAGAACTTGGAGATGACAATGAACATTGTAGGACAAAGCCTGTAAGGAACGATCAGGAAAGTTATATCTGAAGCTTGCTATGTAATAATTTGTAGACGCATGATAACTGTAATCACTCACAAAGGTGATATATTTCTCATTCAAAATTGAAGAAACTTTACATTAATACATATATAACAAAGGAAATTATACTGTCACTCTAAGAAAGGGAAATCCTAAGTTGCTATATCTAACACTCCTCAAGTTGAAGCGAAGATGTTAATCATGCCCAACTTGCTAGAAATAAAATCTATTTGTGCCTTCCGTATTGGCTTTGTCAGAATGTCTGCAAGCTGGTACACTGTCCTGATGTGTACCGGTTGAATTGATGGAGGGTCTGTCTGAGTTCCCACAACACGGTCTATGATAAGATGACAATCAACCCCTCAATATGTTTGGTCTTCTCATGGAATACTTGATTCTTGGCTATATGAATAACTGATTGGTTATCACAATACAGTCTCATCAAGTCGTCTATAATTACTCCAAGCTCACTTAGAAGCCTCCTTACCCACGTCATTTAGCATGACACATTTGTCATGGCTTTGTACTCTGAGTCAGCACTTGATTGGGAGACAGTATGTTGTTTCTTGCTTTTCCAAGAAACCAAGGGGCCGCTTGCCAAATGCTTACGGGAAGTGCTTAGCGGTAAAATTCAACACTATGACTTACTTACCGGGTAAGATTTTAGTCCACAAAAACGGTACAACAATTTACCCGGTAAACGCTAACTATGGTAAGAGACGACGACCCTTACTTATCGGGTAAGACTTTCGGTCCTTGCCTTTGCTCTTACCGGGTAAGATTTTTGGTCCTTGGCATATGCATCCGGTTAGGTAATGTGACTTGGTAAGTGCTTACCCGGGTTAGTGTTTGGTAAACGGCCCCTAAGTTTCCTCCAATGAATACACGATCCCCGGTAGTCGATCTCGTAGAAACAGGCAACCAGCCCAATCTGTATCCAAGAAACCAGATATCCTCCCATCTTCTTCTTTAGTGAATGCACCCACTTGGCAGTGACCCTGAGCTGAATAGACTATCCTTAAGCCTGGTGTGGTCTTTAAGATACCTCAAAACACGAAGTGCTGCATCTTAATGACCTGTATAAGGAGCGGGCATGAACTGGCTCAGAACACTAACCGAAAATGATATATCTGGTCGAGTAACTGTCAAATAGTTTAACTTTCCAACCAGTCTCTTGTATCTCTTTGGATCCTTCATTGGATTTCCATCATCTGGAAGAAGCTTTATATTTGCAAGCATTGGATTGTCCACCGGTTTACATCACAATAGACCACACTTAGTAAGCATATCAAGAACATATTTTCGTTGAGCTAGAAGAATCCCCTGTGGAGATCGAGATACTTCTATCCTGAGGAAGTAACGGAGCCGTCCAAGATCAGTAACTTGAAACTGAATCTGTAGAAATTGTTCAACTTTGAAATTTCGGTGTTATCATCTCTGGTGATAATAATGTCATCTACATAGACCACTAGAATGATTCGTCGAGCGTCATGGGTCTAAAGAACACAAAATAATCCTGATAGCTGCGAGTCAAACCAAACACCTGGAGAACATCTGAAAAACGTCCAAACCATGCTCTAGGGGACTACTTGAGACCATACAGTGAATGTTGTAGTTGACATACCTTTGCCGCCTTCTCCTCAATAACAAACCCAAGCAGTTGTTCCATGTACACCTCCTCCTCAAGAATATCATTAAGAAAGACATTCTTGACATCCATTGGATGAAGCGGTCGTGATTAATGGCTGCCAAAGCTATACAAATTCGAACATAAGACATCTTGTTCATCAGAAGAAAGTCTCATCGTAGTCAACCCCATAAGCCTAAGAATAACCTTTGCAACTAAGCGAACTTTCAAACGGTGCAATGAACCATCAGGATTAAGTTTTACTGTGAATACCCATTTACAACTGAGTTTTCGCTTCCCATGAGGAAGGTGTGTCGAATCCCATGTATGATTCTTTTCTAAGGCATCCATCTCCTCTTGCATTGGCATTGCTTTAAACCACCCAAGATAATTAAGGGTCTCAATCACATTTTTGGGGACAATATAGGTGTCAATGGATGTTGTGGCACACAGACTCTGAGGAGAGATAAGAGTAGGTAAGCTAATCATGGATTGGATATCGGGTACATGGTCATGTGCCTTATCGGAAGGCAATTGGATTATTGTGCAGAGGGCATCAGGTGGTAAAGGTGTATTGGGTACTGAGTTGGAGACTATATCAATAGGCGATGATATGTGTGTATCAATAGGCGATGATATGTGTGTCTCAGGCATACAACAAAGGAAACCTATTTAAGGAAATTATACTATCACACTAAGAAAGGGAAATCCTAATTTATTATATCAAACAATAACTAGGTCTAGGAAGGACAATGGTGGCTGCTTTGGAAGAATGGCCTAGGAAACTATTCTCAGACTTGTTATGTAGCAATTCATTGGCTCATAGGTATTCAGAAAATATAATGTATGTTGCTTAGATAGTGTCTAGGTAAGGAGAAACCATGGCAACTATATTCTTAAGCATGTGTTGTAACAATTTGATGCGTACAAGACATCTAGAACAAGGCAATGGCCGGAGTAAGACATCTAGAAAAAGGCAATGACCGGTGTAAGACTACTAGGAAAAGGCGACTGCCACTTAGAATAGTGGCTCGTAAGGAACAATTAAGCAAATTATATTGCCAAGCTTCTGGTGTAATAACTTGTTGACATATAGATAATTGGGTTAGGACAATGATCATTGCTCAACGTGTTGAGATGGAAACATTTGTGCAATTTGCTTCTCAAGCTTGTGCAATAACTTGCAAGGTAGTTAATGTGCACCCCATTGTGCAAGGCACAATTCAGCAAAGAAAAGAAATAAATTTTGGGAAATCCTATGAAATTACTTTGACTTCATAACATCAATTAGTATGTCTAATAAGAAGCAAATGAACAACAAAAGTAGATTCAACATTGAAAAGTACATATACTGATATACAAAAAAGTTTGTAAATTTCAATAGTAGAAAGCTTAATGGCCATATTAATAAAATCTTCCTGAAGACTTTGTGCAGCAAAGAGTTTTAATTGGTACAATGCTTGAATAGATAGTACACAAGGTTCTATGCAAAAGGATGGAAGCTCCAACATTAAAATTTTTTGGATGTATAACAAAGTCCAACATTTTCAAGGGGCAAGAGCATAATGGTTGTTAAATACCTGTATTTTTATTGTTCGTTGTGTAAACGTGTATCCGTACGGGTTTGCGTTTTTTCGAACATCTCTGACAAGGTTCTTTGGGATCATCATGTATTCATGTTCCAAGAAGAGTTACTAGAAATGAAAATATCACGTGAGGGATCTCCTACAAATGTTAAGAGACCGTAAATAAATGCCTCAAGCCTATTTCAAGCCTCCTAATTTACGGTACTCGCTCATTTGGGGCACACTATAACCTACAAGAACTTCATATGAGAGAACTTAGAGGAGATGAGGGGTTTGAGGAAGGCGAGATGAAATCCACTCTCTCCATGATAAACTTTCTAAACAACCTTTCAACAAAGTTTGATTTTTATATGAAGTGAAGGCTTGTTGCCTCCAGCACTCTACGGTCAATGAATGTCTTGAAGATTTTGTAATAAATTTTTGTGTTGGGATTAGTTTTGCCAATTTCATTTCAACTTGAAACTTGTTGGTCATGGGCTAACCGTTGGCACTCTAGAGGGACCTTTTCATCCTCCTTAGCGTCTTTTCCCGTTCTGCTAAACGGTATCTTCTTTGATTGCCATCTCCGCTTCTGCATCTAAGCTAGACACCTTTTCATGGCACCGTAGATTATAGATCACACTATACCAGCACTTTTGTTGGTTATTAATCAATTGGAGTAGTTGTCACCCTTCACTCACATGCCGCGGTTGTCAATGGACAACCAACCAGCCAAAGAGTTGTTGATGATGCGTCATCATGTTGTCTATTCACCTCATGCACATCATCATCATTTGAGGTCTCAAGGGACCATTCAAGTAACCTCCATTCCCTATTTAACCAAGCTCATTGCTATTTTTCTCACCTCCTGATGTTACCCAATCTGCTGTTAACACCAAAATTTTCTTTAACAAGAATTTACGCAAGGCATCCCCAAAGTGACGGTGTGAGTTTATTTGAGTGGTTGTGAACACCTGGTCAACCCAAAATCACCAATCAATTCACACCAATCCAAGAGTTTTTAGATTAATGTTGTCACCTTATTCCCATACCAAGTATGTCGAATGACATTCAGTGGACGATATGGCCTAGGCATGAAATTGCCTAACTATCATGAGGTGAGAGTGTTCTTGTTTGAAAAATAAATGGAACCTTCCCAAAAAATGTGTACTTCAAAAAGTTGGACTAGTAGCTAACATGCAAAGAGGTTGATGGGAAGAGAGACAAATGAGATTTGTTGACCCCATTCTTCTGAATTAGTGATGTCTGTGTCGTTAAGGCAAGCCATGACATTGGTCATGGGGAGAAGAGGCTTCCTATGAGGTATATCTATGAAGCTATGGACACCCCAAAGGAGGCTATTACAAAGTTTAAATATTAAATAAGGCAGATACTGGGAAGTGTTTGAAACAATCAATTAGAAATGGGATCTCCAACTTTATTAGCTATTGCATGCAGCTGGTTACTTTTTGATTAACATATCACAATTTTTTTTTATAATTCCAAGTCCTATGTTATATACAATTGTGTCAAAAATGAAAGAACAAGATGGGTCAGGGTTAGGATGGATATGGACTGCGGTGGTCGGGGCTGGGCCAGTTATGGGTAGAAGAGAAGCAGGGGGAGGAGTGGATACAAGATGCAAGATGAATATTGGGGAATTGTTCAGCCTCGTATATGCTTTATTGCCTTCCCTACTCCTATAGTACTGGAACAAAGGAGCTTGGCCTAGCAAGCACTTCTACATTACTCTATTTCAATCTTAATATGATTGTATACTAATTGTTTCAACTAGAAACTTTTTCGAAAATTGTAATTCTTTTATATAGGCTTAATATAATATAGTAGAATATCCAACATATAGCCTATTGTTCCATAATAGACTTTGTGAACTTATATATTTATACGCGCTAAAATACTTTGTAACACATTAATTTTAGAAATATATACATTAATGTGTTTGTGTCTCATCTTTTTTGTATTTAATATAATGGAAACAACTTGATCTGAATTTGATATAATACATTTAAGTCATTTCATATTTCTGAATTAAACAACACATCTCTTTGATTTGATACTTGACTACTCGAACCACCTGATTTTCTGTCAACCGAGGTTTGAGCATTAGATAATAGCTTGGTATATTTAATTTCTTCAACAAGTTTAACGACTCTAACAACTCTATTTTCCAGTGACAAAATATGTAAACAATGGTGGTGTAACATGAGCACTGATGTTTTATTGATATGCTGTGAAAGGACACAAGGATGGATAAGATGGAAATGAGGATATTCAGGAGCACGGTGGGTGGCTTTGGTTAACTTAAGCACCAATGTTTTATTGATATCACTTGAGGTCTTTGGGTATCTTCATGACTTTATTGGAGATCCTTTAGAGAGTGACTGAGAGGGAGGTTAGTGTTGGGAGGATTAGAGAAAGCCAATATTAGCATTGGAGGAAGTAATCGTGAGAGACAAAGGATTGGAAAATATATCCAAGGAAACCAACCTTCTGGTAGGAAACCATAGAAGGTTGCCATTATTGTTGAAGAGCCTTGATTCGTTCATCACTTCTAATTTCCTTTTCATATCAGTTTTCTTAGCATACCTTAACGTGTTTCAAAATAAAAGGCTTGTTGTTTTAGGGTTTAAGTTTGTGAATGTTCATCTTGATTTGACTCAGTTGTAGCTTTTTTGTTCAACATATCAGATCAAAAGGCTGCTAGCCAGCCTTTATTCATTCTCTCTCTCTCTCTTGCCAAGAAACTTGTTTTTGTAATTTCTGGTTGCTTCAATCCACGTTGTTTTACACACCCACACTCTCTTGCTCTCTCCCTGAGATGCTCTCCCAGCTTGTCTTTGTTTCAGTGAGCTATAACAACTTTTTACCCTACTATGTTTATGTCTACATGAAAATGAAGTATGTGAAACTGTGGGCTTGAAAGCACACCACTAAAGAAATTCTATATTTGTGGATCTGTGACATGTGTTTTGAGATATTGTACTAGTCTACAGAGGGATGCCTCCGGGGAATGATAATGCAACTTTATTTATAGTGAATGAGTTATAGTCCTCCAGGAAGAAACAAGATGAGAGAATAAACGCTTCATTCTGCAATGGTACACATCAACTACTTAAAAGTAAGTATAGTGACATTGATGCACCTTTTCATTGGGAGACAACCCTTTTTATCATTTTTACTATTGTGTTCCAAAGTAGATGTAAAATTATGTGAGATCAATAGATAGTTAAATCCATCGTCTTTCAGTACCCCTCTGCCCATCTTCCATTCGAAACTGCCCATGCTTCTTGAAACGACCACCTTTCCCCGTCTTGATTTCCCCAAAAGATATGCTCTTCTTTCCTTTTCTAGTTACAAGTGTAGCCTTTCCTGTTAACACATTAGATGCTTTAAGCCATATTTGCATTTCCATTTACTTATACTTCTATATGTGATTAAACACATATAGCATTTCCTTTTTGCATTCATAAAAGGTTGCACATGATCTTGATAATCTAATTCTATCTGTTAGTCAAAAATTGTAGTCTCCATCCCTTGAATACGTATCACCTTATGACTCTGCAACTAATATGCAGGTTTCAGGAGGTAGAAAGTCATCTTTGGAATTTAACAGGATGAATACATCAACCGCAGCTGAAGATACTGCCAATTCTATTCCTAACCATGGTATAAACTTCTTTTTTACCTCTTTAGGATTTTATAACATTTTATTATGCTCTGACATCTATTTGGTTGCTCTAGAAATTTGTTATGTAAACTTGAATCCCTAATTTTGTAGTACAAACCAAATTAAGCTCTCATTTGCTTTTGTTGTTGGGTAACTTCACCTTTTTAGATTTCTTTTAATTAGATGCTGGATCCTTCTCCTTTCTCTATTAGCATTAGAAGCAGTAAATTGTTTGAGATTCAGACGCAAGTCAGATTGTATGAAATTTGAGTAGATCTATTAGGTGGAAATTTATTGGAACCAAGTTGGTTGCACAAACATGCCTACTCAAGGAGGTTCAGATGAGAATGACAAAAAGGTTAACAGTCAAATGAGATGATCCACAAATGGGGAAAGAAGTTGCATTCCAAAAGGGTACCTGGCATGTTTTCTTGTGATATGCTGTCATGGACTTTTTGGGTTTTCCTTATATACATATATATATATTCAGTATCCACGTGCATGAGATGAAATTTCTTTGCCTCATTTGCGGTTGCAGATGGTCAATCTCAGCCCATGACTGCAGAAGAACATGGTCTGTTGAGTCCTCCTACACAAGTATGACTTTTTTTTGTTGCAGAAATTGATCAAGTCTTGTTTACAAGGTTAGTTCAGACTTCAGACTCAGCATATCTATAATTTCCTTTATTCCTAAAGTTAGGGTGTATCTGCAAGTTTAAAACATAGAGACAAAGGACTTCCAGTTTCTGACTTTCAATTGCATGGAAGTTCATTAAGCTGAGTTTTCTCCAAAACTCTCTTCCTAAATGTGGGAAGAAAGATTTGGTTTTCAGGACCAATTGTAATGAAAATGGAATAGGCTTTCTTAAGTTCAAAACCTTTGTTTAGTATGTAACATCTCAAAGATTTAAATACTTTCTTTTTTATCTAAATTCGACTAGGATTCAAGTTCTGCTGGAGTTGATATATTTTTTTTAAATGTTAATTAAGCAAAAATATTTTTTTAGAAGGCTTATAATATCTAAAATACGTAATCGATTAAAAAAATATCATAAATTGTACAAATCCTGTAACGATCATGAAGCTCCTGTTTTGTAGGTGGTTGCTGAAGAGTAGTCATGATCGATCGGTATATAAAACACCAAAATGCAGTCTCTTTATCGCTTGCAGGGGTTGCATTTTATAACATCAACAATGTAACATCTATCTTTCTTCGTTAGGAACCTGTTTAATTTTGAACATTTGTATACATTGAGCCAGCCCTCGTCCCTTTTTTATACGGTTCAGTTTCTCAATCCCTGATGTAACTCAACAGTGAATTCGTATGTAACATCTATTACCACGAATCCTTTTTTGTAAGGTTTTGCATTGCATATCTGGAGTATTTTTTTGAAGTCCCAAACCATTCATTCCTTAATTACTGCATGCATATTCAACCAAAGAACATGATTGCATTACAAAAATATATAACAAAACAAGTACCAAGAAACGGAAAGCAGTCTTTAGACCATATTAACCAGACAGCAGACAACAGTTCTTCGTTCTTGTATTCTAGAATGATAATGATTCATGTCAATTCGCATTGCTACCACCACCAAACAGGTAACCCAAAGAAGACCCACCACCGGGTGCTGCATGAACCTTGGTTGAAGGCCGATCCTGCCCATGCCATTTTCATCTAGATTATACTTGTATGAATCGTGCGATAAAGTAAGTGAAAGTGAATAAATCATTACCGTGAGGAAGTTGCCAGTGTTCTGACCCTCAGCTCGGAAATAGTTGTTTGCCTGGCTACCCTGCTGGATCCCAGCAGGAATCTGTTTCGTAATATCTAGCTGGGGTATGGTGGCTGTAGGTTTAGGAGGTGGCTCATTGGAAGCGGCAACATGTACCTGGCTCACAGGAGCTGCAACCGCAGCCTCTCCGGGTTTTGCCTCTCCACTTCCAAACAGGTAGTTAAGCGAACTCTGTCCCCCACCACTGCTCACTCCGCGACCCATGATCTTTGCTTTCAAATTCAGCAAGAAGCTGCTTGAAGATGAAAGAAATCATAGTAAGCAATAAGCACCAAAAAAGAACTTTCAAGCCCAACCCAATGGTCCAGAAAAAAAAAACAGAACCACAAATCGAATGCATTATGCCAATTAACATGCGACAGCTCAACGTTCTCAGAAGCTAATAATATATTACAACTTCAAAATATATTATGCATATTTTTTGAGAGCATGATCACACCAAAAGGTCGATTGCTAGAAATTATTTTTCCTTGAACACTGAAGAGATTACTTTTCAGAAGATAATGATCAAGATCATTAAGTCGTTAAGCGTTGTGAGGATAATCAACTAAAACTGCTGTGATCATGTCCTGGTAATAGCTTAGTAACTGACATAATATAATCAAGTCCTAGGAGTTGCAATACACCAAAAGCAGGTAAACATCTATCTGATAAACAAGGTCTTCTTACATCCAACCATTTGTCTCTCATTTGTGTTTTCCAGGTTTTGCTTCTATTTTTTTTTTTGGGGGGGGGGGGGGGGGGTCTGAGAGGGGCTATTCTATCCGTAATATGATCTGTTCAGGGTCGATCCACAACTACTTCCAAGTTGGAACACCAACCAAAATCAATAGAGCATATAGAATGTCGAAGACCTTTCCGATTAGGCTGGCATATGCTTCAAAAAGAAAGAAACAGAAAAAGGGTAGCAATTGCAGACTGCAGGTGAACTTTAGGTGCAACCTTAAAGTGGGAGATGAATTTCAACTTGTCTTTATAGACATTAGGGTATTTACATCACAAGAGAAACAAAGAAGCTGCAAGTTAGATACACAGTTTTCTTAACAGAAAATCTCTTTAATCAGCCAAGAGGAGAAATAGTAAAGTGATCTAATTATCTAAACCTAGGTCACCCACATTTGGGTGAAACCAAAAAGATTATTAGGTCAGCTCTTGGGTTCTGCTTTGATTGATTCTGCATCCTAATTAATAAGCTAATTTGAAAACAAGATCACTTCCATTTATGCATAAATTTCTAATATCCAGCTTTAAACATCATGATTAAAGACCATGCTAGAAAACGACAAGCCCATAGAAAACCACCACGACAACGCATGTATGGGGGCAACAATTTTTAGGGCACCAAACAACCTTTCTTCTTCAAAAATCACAACAGATTCATTCGCCAGTACAATTATCAAATGTAAAACATCATAAAACAACAAATTCCACCAATATAAACCAGCACCATATACCTTAAAAGAACTCTAAACAAAAACAACAGACAATGTCAATTAACACTTAACATCCGCCACACAGATAATTTTGCTCTAACACACACCAAATTCCATATCCGCCATGGATTTGAAACTAGATACCAAAATGCAACACAATTCAAGTACCAACAGTTGTATTTCTCTACGAATCTGTTAAATATAACCCAAAAAAAATCGAGCAGCAACAGTGAAATGCAGAGTGAGAAACCACTAACCGGCGTGCGTCTTGGGTCAGATCTAGATCGAAGCGAAGATAGAGTAGAAGAACAGTTGTCGGTGTATATATTGTGACCCCCCGCCGCCCAAATCTATCGAACTTGAATATTAAACCGGATCCCCGGTTCGTTACTGTATCCGGGTTTATCGGGTTATCCCTTTTCGCAGGTACGGATTTTTCAAAACTTGGTATGGTATCATATTTTTTTACGTGTCATGTATCAATTAATTATAATAAATTATAATTATAATTAAGTGGTCATTTACTAAATACTTATCTCATAAGCGTTTACTGATAAAATTTAACACTATCATTTATTTATTGGATAAGATTTTAGTCCATCAAAACGTATCGTATGCAACAATTTACCCGGTAAGCGCTTATCGTAGTAAGAGTCGTTGCCCTCACTTACCGGGTAAGACTCTTAGTCCTTGTCTTGCTTTTACTGGATAAGATTATTGGTATTTACTATATTTATCTAGTAAGGTAATGTGACTTGGTGTTTACTTACGCAAGTAAGCGTTTGGTAGACGACCCCTAAATCTAAATGCAATAAAACTCATGAACATTCAAATAACATGTTGACATGTGATGTATCACTTGTTCTTACATAAACAAGCATTCAGTAACATTCAAATAATACAAACGTCGATGGATAGTGAATGTATGAACAAGTCACTAAGGTCGAATTGATTGATTTGTCTTGGTATAAAATTGACATTTTTATAGCGTAATTGTTGTTTGATCTACAACTTTGGTATGTTACATTCAGGTCCCTGGATTTTGTTTAATTCACATTTCCCTCCTTTTTTCACAAATTTTTATATCAGTCTTGAATTTGAAAACGAAATAATTTGATTTCGACCTCCCTCGGTATCTATCATTCATAAATAAAACGATATCTAAAAATATATACAATTTTATGGAAAATGAAATTTCATTATAAATTATAAATATATTAAAATAAACAAGGTTTTTATATAAGAACCCATAATATTATGTTAATTGTAAGAAACAATGTATCATGTGTTATTTCATATGATTTTTTTCATCTATGCCTTCGATTTAATGTATTGATTAACATATATTTATTTCACAATATGAGTCTTTTTATATGTGTGTGAAACAAATAATACAACTAAAAAGTTTGACATTGTGAACCGAATACATGAAACAAACATATGTTAATCAATACATTAAATTCTAGTTTTAAATGAAGAAAAAATCATAGGAAACAATATATTACGATAATATTCCTCACACTTATCATAATATAGAGTGTTCTCAAACGATTAAGTCCAAAATAAATGGTATTTAAATAAGATGTATTTTTACCAGACAAAACTTACTTTCAAAAACTTAATTAAGGGGCCGTTTACTAAACGCTTATCTGGTAAGTGCTTACCGGACAATTTTCCTCACCAGATGTACATGGCAAGGGCCAAAAATCTTACCTGGTAAGAGCGACGATAATGATTGAGAGTCTTACCCGGTAAGTAAGAGTGACGACTCTTATCCGGGTAAGCGCTTACCGGGTAATTGTTGCATATGATACCATTTTGATGTACTACAATTTTATCCGATAAAATAAATTATAGTGTTGACTCCGATCGGTAGTGGTGGCCAAAAACCGGTCCCAGGCCGGGCCGGTCCTGATCGATCCCAAGGTTCCACATAACCGGTTACGGGGTCTCGGTCCCAACTGGTCCCGATATTAAAAAATTATCTTTTTTTAATTTCCTTTTTAATGATATTTTTTAATACATTATAAAATTTGTAATTAAGTCACTCAAATACACTTTAAAAATACATTTTAATATAATTAAAATTATGTTGTCTTAAAAAAATACATTATAAAATTATTTTAAAATATATTTATTTATAAAATTATCTTAATTTTCGGGTCGGGCAGCATAACCGGTCCCGGTCGGTCTTGGTCCCACGAAACTACCAAAAACCCCAACCGGTCCCGGTTTTTGGTCCCATAACCGGTCCTTACCGGGCCGGATCGGTCCTTTGCCGGTCCCGGTTCCGGTCCTCCGGCAGTCCCGGGCTGGGTCGGGCCGGTTTGGCCATCACTACCTACCAATAAACATTTACCGGATAAGCATTTGGATAAAACGGTCCTAAGTTAGTATTTACGACATAACATTGTAAATAAGAAACTCTATTAATTTTTTATTTCAAACTTTTTTTTCATGAATTTATTTTTGCTAAATATTAGTCATTTAGAAAATATTTAATAATAAAATATTAAAAACCAAAAAATCACCTACAATCTACTAATAGCAACCACATGGGATGTTTTGGCCAACCCTATGGCATACAAACACAAGTGTCCATTTCATATTAAACATTGTGTTTTTTTTTTCCTTTTTAAGGAGTGGTTATTGTTTATAATAAAGTCCAAATGTATATTTTTATTATTATTATTATGATTATGATTATGATTGATAAGATTGAACTCATATATTAAATGTGATTCATACCTTTCGTTTTGTTAATAAACGAGAAATTAACGCGAATAATGATAAAACCGAGTTAAACCCACATGCTCATATTGGGAAAACACGGGTTACCAACCATACAAGATTAATTAAGAGCCTTCGGTTACATTCCAAATACCACCACATCACACGAATAAAATCAACATCACGGTTTCGTCTTTAATCCCGATGTGTGCTTGAACGGAAGATGCAATTAAATGCTTGATTTTAGACATGTTTCTACGAGATAGTGGAAGACGCGAAGAATGGAATCCAAGAACATGCTATGAATTTGGTACAAGTGAAAGAGTTGTTGTAATCGAACTCATGGAAGGACTCGCAACAGGAATTAAGGAAGTCTGCTTCTCACTCGAAACATGACCTTTGTGCAATAATTGAAGGGAGGCCGACAATGGAAAGAACTCAGCTTCAGAATCTTTATGTCGGACTTTTCAATGGTGTCAACAGATTGGTTATAATGTCATAAATAAGGATTTACAAAGTGCATGTAGTTTTCAGTGTTTTAATTGATAATCATGCTATCCAACTTGAAGGATAAACCAAATTATTCAATACAAGTTGAGGACTAGATTTTAGAGGTTCGAGCCATCCACTACAAAAATTAATACTTTCAGCAAAGGGAAAAACCATTGACAACGTTAGATTTGTTGATGATTTGTCGCCGAAAACTGGGTTATTGATACAATCATCAATGGGTCTTGAATGACAACTTTCATCGACAGGATGGGAAGAACCACCAACAATTTTGCTACAAATACTTTTGGAGGCGGATTTGCAATGGTAACTTTCAATTGACGACATATTTTACTGAATGAATTAGGATCGCCATATTTTCAAAAGATTCCGACAAATAACACACATAAGGAAACATCAATGGCTTCCAACTGGCCCAATAACCGTAGGATATCCATCGGAAAGTCGTCGATGATATTTTTTAATTATTTAAAATATTCATCTTTTCATGTATTAAAAGCCTATTTTCTGTATATATTGCATCAAATGAATACAATCAAATTTACAAAATTCTATTAAAACGTTTCAATAAAAAAAAGAACTGTGTTTCAGTCAAAACACATTAACTAACTAGGGGGACGAGGATGGGGAGGGAGAGGAAGGGGGCCTCTTTTAGAGATCAACTCCTTGTTTCTAGACTGATCATCCTCGTCGCTAGAGTTTTCCGCTTTACGTGCTTGACCTCCACCTCGGCTACAATTGTTGCTCATAACGAGTTTTTCACCTTCCACTTGAAACATAATGATTGTGCTTCAAACATGTCCATAATGAGTTTACACACACACACATATGTAGAGGGCCAGTCCTAGGATTTTTGATACCTTGTGCGAAAATAATAAAAAATGCCCCTAAGCCTATTTTTTTAAGCCAATAAAACATACAATCTTTTAAAAAGTTTAGAACTTATTCAAGTTAAGTGTCTCATCTCCATCTTGATTTTTATTATTATAATAAAAAAAATACAAGGTGGGGTGGGCGGGGGTTATAAAAACCAAAACTCCGAATACAAAATATAGAATGATAAAAGAATAAAATCATGGATTAAGATCGTGTTTCCTTTTTTTTTTTTTTCCAGTTTTTCCTTTTCCAAATTGGAATTAGCAAAATAGAAACTTTATTTCAATACATGGGACTTAAAAGACAAAGAAAACTATAATTAATTTTTAACTAAGATAGTAAATTACATCCAAATTACTGTCATAGTAAGCAAAAAGTAAAACTCAAAAGTTACAAGTCTAACGACTAAAGGCTAAGGGTCTATTTGTTATCATCTTAATAAGCTTAATGAAACTAACAGCTTATTCGCTCAACTATGGATGACTGTTTCATATTGACTTAGTTAATGATATATAAAGTGACTTATCCAGTAAGCTTCTAGGGGAGCTTTATATAGAAAGACAAGTTTTTTTTTTCTTCCAAACATGTCTCTTCCAATTAAAAAAAATGCCCCTTACATCTGCGAAAAAACTCTTTCAAACAAAAAAAAAATTCCAACTTATACAAACAGATTAATTATACAAACAACTTTATTCATATAGAACTTAATAAAAAACCAATCAAACGGCCTTTAAATCTAATGCGATAATGTCAAACCTCAAAGTAAACAAAGTTCAAAAGATTAATAATAAATTGTAAAATTCATAATCTGTGTTACTGTGCATTGCAAAGAACAAGTGCCCAATAATTAAAACAATATCACAATATGTTGTTAATGTTGTACAGTGTGCTCCAGCTATGTTGATAATGATGTGTTCATGTGCATTGAAAATTTTATTTCTCATATATTTCAATATGCAAGAGGAAGACTCATCATCAAAATGACAAAAGCCCTTTAGCCTTAGCCTAGTAAGTTAGTAACCCACACCATCATATGACCCAACTTTATAATTATCAATTAGAATTTAGATTTTTTTTGCAAAAAGATTTAAATATTCATAAATCATAATATGACTCACACAACAACTCGGTAAGTTCAACTAACAATAGAAATCAGTCATTCGAGATTTCCATCTTTGATTTCTTGAATCTAATTTCATGATCATTAATCGGCTGGAAAGAGA